ACGAATAGGAGTGGGAAGAAAAAGGTAGTGGAAGGTCTGCAATGGACATTTGTTGTTTCTGCTTGTCCAATATCCATCAGTCCTATTTCTAATAAAAGCATCTTCACTTTGCTTTTGAGGCCACCTCTTTCCTCCTCAGGCACCGAGAGGACTTCCAAAATATTCGTAATATTCTATAGTTTAACCTGGAGGATAGGAACATGAGTGTTCATGTTATTATTATTTTTTAAATATATTTTATTGAGTTTTTACAGAGAGGAAGGGAGAGGGATAGAGAGTTAGAAACATCGATGAGAGAAAAAAATCGATCGGCTGCCTCCTGCACACCCCCTACTGGGGATGTGCCTCAAGGGCAGCCAAGGTACATGCCCTTGACCGGAATCGAACCTGGGACCCTTCAGTCTGCAGCCCGACGTTCTATCCACTGAGCCAAGCCGGTTAGGGCCATGTTATTATTTTTTAAACCATATAGATACCCTAGAGGCCCAGTGCATGAAATTCATACATGGGGGGTGGGTCCCCAGCCTGCACCCTTTCCAATCCAGGAACCCTCGGGGGACGTCCGACTGCCTCTCGCAATCCGGGAACTCTGGCTCCTAACTGCTCGCCTGCCTGCCTGCCTGATCGCCCCTAACCCCTCTGCCTGCCTGCCTGCCTGCCTGATTGCTCTTAACTACTCCCCTACTGGCCTGATTGCCCCTAACTTTTCCCTTGCTGACCTGATTGCCCCTAACCGCCTCTGCCTCACCCCATACCCAGGACCCAGGATTCCCTCCCTCTGGCCAGCCGAAGGCACCCAGGACCCGGGCTGGCTTTGCCCGGGCTGGCCACAGCCGCAGGGGACCATGGGCAGCAGCTTCGCCTGGGCTGCAGCTGCAGGCACCCAGGACTGCGGGGCAGGCAACTTATCCTTCTCCTGGGCCGCAGCCACAGGCGCTAGTGCCCAGGACTGTGGGGTGGGCAGATTGTCCCTCTCCCGGGCCGCAGACGCTGGTGCCTGGCAACTTGTTCCTCTCCTGGGCCACAGCCTGGCTGGTCCCCATTCCTCTCTTGCAAGCTCATTTGTGCCTGGATGGTCCCCATTCCTCTCTCAAAAGCTCAATTGTGTCTGGCTGGTCCCCATTCCTCTCTCCCCAGTGTTGAGTGTCTGAGTCATTACGGCGTGATGGCGTGATGACCATTTGAATATTAGATCTTTATTATATAGGATTTTATTCGTTAGATTAAAGAGATGCATTTTATATACTTTGGATATATATTTCACAGTTCAAACACACATATTAAAACTTCCTTTCTCCACACTCTAAAGATAAGGACCAGTGTCAGGTCTGAGCCACCCAAGTTACAAAGATTGTCTTCAGCGCCTGACCCAATTTAGGTCCATGAGACACCAACCCAAGCTTTTGCTGGAACTATCAGGAAAGAGGTGCTCTCTTTCTGCTGTAGTTGTGCAGCTTGTTTGTACAACATATCCCTTCCCCAGCCGGAGAATAAAGCTAACACAGAAGAATGCAGAGACAAGAGGAAGGTGGCAGATTCCCGACATCATTTGAATATCCAGTTCCAGCCATCCCTGAAGCCAGATACCTGGGGCTCTTCAATAACACGAGCCAATTTGCCTTTGGTTTATGACCTTTTAACTAAAAAGAAACCTAACCCAGTAGTAGAGTCAAACAAAGGATTCTCAATTCAACAGCCTGTGTGACCTTTTTCAACACATAAGCCAAACCATGCCCTCCTTCTGCTCAAGACCCTGCAATGACTCCCAAAGTAAAGGCTAAAGTTCTCGAGGTGGCCTACCAGGCCCTACACAGTCTGCCCCCATCGCACCACACCCTCAACCTATGACTTCCCATTGCTTACTCTGCCCTAGCCACACTGGCCTCTGGGCTAGTCCCTGACACCCCGAAAATGTGCCGACAGGCCCCTGCTTTGGCTGTTCCTCCCACCTGGACACCCCTCCAGACATCCACTCACAAACTGCCTCACTTCCTTCCCCTCTCTGCTCCAATCTCAAGTTCTCGATAAGGCCTGCCCGTATCCCACCCTCACAGCCAGTGATCCTGAACACTCCCCTCCCTGCACTATTGCTTCTTCCTTCCACAGCATTTATTACATAATACAGTAAATGTACCCAATGAGGGCAAGAGTCTTCAACTGGTTGATTCATCTCAAGTTCCCAGAACAGTGCCTGACTCTTAGCAGGCCTTCAAATATTTGCTGACGGAACAAATAAAAAGGCGCGACCCTCCAAGGAGCAGAATCTGGTTGGTGGAGAGAAAGGACACTAACTTTTATCTCCTGAACCTGATGTGCATGGAGTACAGGAGGAAAAGACACCTCCATTTCAAAGGCTTCAGGGGAAGCAGTGGCCTAAGGGAGCTGGAAGGAGACAGAAGAGCTCAGTAAACAGGCTGAGGGTGTGGGTGGGGATGTCAGCCACCACTGGGGCTTAAGAGGGACTGATGTGAAGTTTGGGAAGGCACATGGGAGTTGGAGACTGAGTCAGGGGAGAAGCAGCCCAGAGCGGTTTGCAGATGAAAGTAAAAAAAAGAGGGATGGACCAGTGGTTTACTTACATTTTAGCTGGAGATGAAGGATGTAGTGGTAGAGGGCCTGGTGAGCTAAGCTGCTTTAAAAGAATTAGTCTTAGCAACTCTTAGTAGAAAGGGTTCCTCCCATTACTCCAGGGTTTGAATGATTTTAGATTTTGTGGGTGGAGAGGCCATGGTCTTTCCCTCCTCCCAGTACCCCAGAGGCCATGCGGAACTGTTTGCTGGACCGGGGCACAGGCATCCCTGTGCATGGCACCGTCCTGGGCCCACAGAAAGCAATTCCCCTCGCGTAATATAATAATCCCCCGCACTAAAAGCAGCCTGTCAAATCCTCATTCTCCAAGCCCAGAACTGACTCTGTGACGTCTAGGATCACAACCCTGACATCCCAAAAGCCAAGAAAACAGGCTTCTTTTTTTCTTGTTTATTTATCCTCACCCAAGGATACTTTTTCATTGATTTTTAGAGAGAGTAGAAGGGAGGTATAGAGACAGAGAGAGAAAGATCGATGTGAGAAAGACACATCCATTGGTTGTCTCCTGCATGCACCCCGACCAGGGCCGGGGATTGAGCCTGCAACCCAGGTACGTGCCCTTGACCAGAATGGAATCCAGAACCCTTCAGTCCACAGGCCAATGCTCTATCCCACTGAGCCAAACCGGCTAGGGCAGAACAGGCTTCTTTTTAAAGACAGACCGGCGCATTCAGTGCTCCTACCTGCCCTGCCTGCTGCCCAGGCAAGAAAAAGCAGGGCAAAGGGAAGCCTTCCTTCCACTGGTCCTGATTCACCTTTGATGCCTGTCAGCTTCTCTCTACAGAAATTTCTCCAGAGTTATGAAAACATATATGCACATGCCAAGATCCAAGGAAAAGGTTACTCCCAGAGAAACAAATGATATTGCTTAGCCTCTAAGGAAAAATGAATTACTATAAATCAGACCCTTGGGAATGATGTCATTTTGGTGTTCCTTACAGCTCTATGGAGACTTATTAAATATTCAATAATTATCCCTGGCCAGTGTTCTCAGTGGTCAGAGGGTCGGCCCATGCACCGAAGGTCTCGGGTTCAATTCCTGGTAAAAGGCATGTGCCTAGGTTGCAGGTTTGATCCCTGGCCCAATTGATGTCTTCTCTCTCTCTCTCTCTCTCTCTCTCTCTCTCTCTCTTCTCTCTCTCTCTCGCCCCCTCCCCTTTCTACTCTCCCTAAAAAAAAATCAATGGAGCCTGGCTAGTGTGGCTCAGTTGGTTGAATATCATCCCATGCACCAAAATGTCCCCAGTTGGATTCCTAGTCAGGGCACATGCCTGGGTTGTGGCTCAATCCCCAGTGGGGGCAAGCAGGAGGCAGTCAACTGATGCTTCTCTCTCATCGATGTTTCTCTCTCTCTCTCTCTCTCTCTCTCTCTCTCTCTCTCTCTCCCCCTTCCTTTCTCTCTAAAAATCAATAAGAACATTTTTTTTAAAGAATCAATGGTCCCTAATTTCACTTAGTAGTAGAACAAGAAGGAATTCATTTCATCTTTTACTAGGAGGAGGAAATCCTGATCACAAATGTTGAGAACAATTCTAATTTCTGCAACTAGTAACGAATGTCAACAGCAGCACTAGTACAATCGCGGCTCAAGCCCTGGTCACAGCTGACCTGGCGATGGGGGAGGGGGATGCGGCCCCTTCCCCGCCACTGGGCTCTGCTGTCTCTCAAAGCAGCAAGAGGGTTACGCTGCTCAGAGAAAATCAGGAGCCTCTCTCTGCACAAAGAAGGTCAAAGGGCGAGCTTTCTTTCCATCAACCACAAAACCAGTGTCTGCCAAACCTAAATAGTGTGGGAGGCCGTCAGAGGTGAAGGGAGCCCAGACAGAAAACCACAGCTGAGTCTCCCCCGGCCGCTGGGGTCTGAGTCAGGTGACTTCTCAGGGCACACAACAAACCTAAACAAAGATCCCGCCCCACATGACAGACGGGGGAAGATGACTGCCAGTGAGACCGACGCTGCCCAGACCTGCTGCAGAAAACCATTAACTCGTACTTCTTGGCAGCTCCAGCCAACTGAGGGACCTACAAGTTACTTTGCAGCGCAGCCTCCGGGGATGCGCCAGGAGGAACTTGGGACCCCATCCCAGGGCACAGGCGCCCAGCACCAACCTGCAGGCGGGACCCCTCCGACCAGCTCTCTCTCACCAGAGCTCCAGACCCGTCACAGCCTGGCAAGCCCGTCCCCTCCGGCCGCTTCCCCCGCGGCTGCGACCCCACGGGGGCGGCAGAGAGGAAACGCCTTTTCCAAAGGAAAGGCTCTGGGGGCAAGGGTACGGCTGTGCCCCACCCCACCACCACCCCCCGGGAAGGGGCGCCAGGGTGGGCGCGACCCGGTGCCCAAGGGAGCTGGGGATCCATCATCCCCTTCGGGAGAGACACGACCCTCCCGATCCCCAGCTAAGCGCGTCCCACCTTGTCGCCGAAGCTGCGGGCCATCAGCAGGTCCGGGCTGGGCGTGCTGTCGCCGCCCACCCCCTCCTCGCTGCTGGAGCCGGCCAGCGGGTGAGGCATGTCGCGCAG